ACTCACAGGGTTTCAGGGAATCGGACCCCCCTTTAGATAAGCTTACGGGGGGTTTAGGCCTCGAGTCCGCCTTTAAGACACTTCCATGTATTGGCCCCATAGGTGTTGGGTTGCCTTCCTTTTGCACCCCCGACAAACACTACCCAACCCGAGCCAACACTCACTGTTTGTTTTGGTTTCGCTATTACGGTATAAACACTGTTTGCATCAAATGTTTTACATTTTGTTTTAGCACTTTTTCACAACTTTGTTATAATTATTTTTAGTTAATAAAATTATTGATCACTTATTTATGGCTTTTAGGCGTTAAGTAGTGTTGAGTTTAATTATGTTTTTGATTGATTTTAATTAATGACTCAATTAATATAGCGATGACTAGAGATATGTATAGTTTGCTGAAAACTTTGAGATTGTTTGGCAATACTTTGCAAACAAATGGTGTCTTAACAGTAATGAGGGGTTTAAGTGGTGTAAGCGTCGGATCAACGGCTCAATTGTCCAAAACATTTACCGAAGAAGACGTGAAAGTGTTTGCGAGACTTACCGGTGATTTTTGCAAACAAATGGTGTCTTAACAGTAATGAGGGGTTTAAGTGGTGTAAGCGTCGGATCAACGGCTCAATTGTCCAAAACATTTACCGAAGAAGACGTGAAAGTGTTTGCGAGACTTACCGGTGATTACAATCCCATTCATTTGGACCATAAGTTTTGCTCCGAAACTCACTTTTCCAGACCTATAGTTCACGGAATGCTTACTAATGGGTATTGAATCACATTTTGTTGTTAACTATTTACTAAATTTAGTATTCATTAGTTTAGTGTCGGCAGTGTTTGGGACAGTACTTCCCGGTCCGGGAGCTGTTGTGGTCAACCAAACCATTAACTTTACAAAACCTCGTAATTAGCTTTTTGTTAAAAATATTGACATTTAATTTCTGTATTTAATTTTTGTGATTCTTTACTTATAGTATACATCGGGGAAGAAGTTTGCGCTAAAATCACTGTCGTTAACATTAGGAAGCGATTCATTGATTGCAAATATGTTTGCTTCACAACTGATGGAAAAGTTAGTTTAATATAACTTTTAATTTATTTTTATTATAATTTTAACAAATTTATTGGTCTAATAATTTCAGAATATAATGGACGGAACGGCGAAACTTGTGATGATTTGATTGTTTATATTTACAATTTAGAAATGTATATAAAATATATAATAAATGAATTATTTATACGATGGCAATGAGTTGTTAGTAGAGGTAAATGTGTTTTCATGATTTAGTCTCTCTTTGAATACAATGAATGGAAACATTACATCCGAAATAAAGTATCAAAAGTGTGGGCAATAGTGGTGTCGGGAACGTGAAGAGGATCTGTTGGACAAATTGGTAGCCGACCTCCCAATTGGACAGAAAGAATATATTGGACACATAGGCGATGGCGAAGAACGGACTGGCGATCAATGCATTCAATCGCTCGTTCGCTGTGTCCGAGAGTTTGCACTAAAATATAATAAATATTTGTTATTAGATATGAAAAGAATATAAAACTAGTTTTCAATTACTTGAACGGAAGTGATCCACACGTTTGACGACTGAACAGATTTGGCGATTATTTCTGCCGAAACACCGAAGAAGTTAAGCGACGTCCAAATAACGACCGCCCGATCCATGCCATGCCATAAAGCAATGCATAAGAAACAGACAAAACCGGCAAAAACTTTTCGCATTGGATTCCATTGCGAACCGATTATGGGTTTATAAAAATAACTACAAAACACAATGAAATTAATTAAAACATTACTACAGTTTCGAGTTTTCATTGAATACTTAGTGAGCCATAAATGTAATCCTCGATCGAAAGTCCGCCACAAATAGACACACGAATGGATACGACTAATACATTTGGGCGGCGCCGGCATTTCGAAGCCATCGATGGCCGCTATAGTGGCCACTGAGCCGTAGATTATGAAGTACTTAACGAAGAACATGAGGGGCAGTGCGAACCCTAACCCACACAACGACCATATGCTCAACATTTGTGTCAATTCGGGATAGAATTGAATGGAAGTCGAAAACACCAAATGTAACATCAATTCAAAGACAAACGACCAAAACGTGAACCGAAGTACTTGTTTGATGACATTCACCACACGATCGCT